TCTTCCTTCAAAGTATAAAAAATTAGGCTCCAAATGCTTTCCACATAATTTGGTGTAGCTCTGATGGATAACATTTTCTGAATGCTGGATTTCAAGCCAGTGAAGGCAAAGCTGTCCTACTTTGGGCAGATTTCACTGGAAAAAAAATTATGCTGGGAAAAGTTGCAGCAGGAAAAGAGGAAGATCAGATATTACATGGATTGACTTCATAGAAGAAGCCACAGCCTTGAGTTTACAAGAGCAGAGGAGGGCTGTTGAGGACAGCACATTTTGGAGATCACTCATTCATAGGGTCACCATAAGTTGTAGAAGACTTGATGGCATGTAACAATAAAGATGAAAAAAAACCCTCTAGTTATTAAGTCCCAGCAGAAAATCATTTACAGTCATCAAAGTGCTCAAAATATTACGGGTGATTCCTGCTGAATCCTTAATTAATTAAGGCTAATCCTTAATTAAAAATAATAATAATGCTAATTTTATACAAATGGTAATAGAAGGGAAAAAATGATCTATAGAAGAAAGGTATAAATAAATTATACTGGAATTTTACAGCAGAGTAGTAGCAAAACTGACTGAGCTTGTGAACTAGAATGAGTTGAATTCATCTTCATTTCTAAATGGCTCTGTATAATGCTTCAACATCCATTAACATGAGTTGCTCTTCTAGTATGTTTGGAGCAATGAAAGAAGCACTCTGAAGGTAATAAAACTAAGAAACAAACATTAATGAATACTATAAACTGCTGATGAAAAAGGTAACAGGTCTGGCTTGTGGTAGAAAAGTTTTCATTTTAAGTGAGCTGGGAAATACTATATTTATATTACATATTTCTCAAGTGGCAATTGGGCATTGTGTTCATAGTCCTCCATTCTTGCACCTGAACCATAGTGGCAGTACATTAGGGCTGCAGGACAGCAACATTCCATTCCTCAAGACTTCAGGGCCAAAATGAAATACTAGGGACATGTCACTGACATCACAGATTACAGGCTCCTGTGATGTCACAAGACAGCAGACAAGGGATGAAAGCAAACACAATACATACAAATGCCTTCCTCCTGAGCCAATGGTTTCTGGTTTTATCTGAGAATAGGAGTGGATGGATACTCAAGCTTTAAATACCAATTTGAAAGTTTAAAGACACACACACACAAATAAAACAATATTTTTCTTTAGTACCACTCACCCTAAAAAAATTACCTCCTTCCGTGGACATCCAGGGAAGCATAGCAGTTCCATAAGAGATCATTGGAGCTCAGATATATGGATAATAAATGTATATAGGTTTATTATCACTTTGATATTTTAAATTATATTTTATTTAATTCTAAATGCTTCTGAGTTTGAGAAGGGCTATAGCTCAATGATAACTATATGTAGAAGGTTTAGTTAGCGGCATCTCAAAGTAAGGTTGGAAAGATGCCATTATACAGCATGCTCAAACTTCTGCCAATCAATGCAAATAATTCTGAGTTGGGCAATCTAATGGTCTGGCTTCATGTAAGGCAATGTATGTTGCCCTGACTTAGCTGTGCTGAATTTCACCTGAAGCCTGTCAGAAAGTCTTACAGAATTTTGGAATTTCTGCCAAGACTACTGTAGCTGGTATCTTCTGCTGAAAAGAGTACCCTAAGTCACTCATGCCAAAGACACTGCTTTGGGTTTTTTGGGGGGAAGGGGACATCTTTGCTTAGGCCAGGGATGGCAAACGAGCTATATTTTCAATACAACTCTTGTTTCTGTCCTCTAGCTGCAATGGCTAGATATGATAGGAAATGACATCTAGTTAACACCTGTAAAGCCACAGATTCTCCAGAATAGTAGTCCCCAATGTTGGGTTCCCAAATGTTCTTGGACTAAAACTCCCAGAAATCCTGGCCAACACAGTTAGTGGTGACAGCTTCTGGGAGTTGTAGCTCAAGACTAACTGAGGACCCAAGGTTGGGAGCCATTGATTTTAGACATTAAAGATGCACAGGAGAGTTCCTTTTGTTTAGGCGCTTCTTAGAAGAAGAAAAACAACAAGAAGTAGTGCCAGCTGGAACCTTGCAAGTACTCCTGCTGACCCTTATTAGAAACCAACAAATGGATGTAGTCTCTCTCTTTCTCTCTCATTCTCACTTCCCCATTTGTAAGGAAAGGTATGCTGGGATTCTGGGTAAGCTACTCTGATGTAAACCTTTTATTTTTACTAGTACAAGAGATTGTGTGTTCCACAAGTAAGTTTATATTACACAAGTCAATTTATATTATAAAGGGAAAACGTAAGCAATGAACAGAAATGGCTCAAGTAACAGGATTCATCCAGCAATACATTAGGCCTCAGAGGACTCATAATACAATATATGACCCATGTAGACATCGTTGATGGTCTTAGGTACTTCAATTTGTAAGTGAGTACAACTTGTAACACTGCACATCATCTTGATCACAAGGCATATCTATTAAAGCAGTGGTTTCCAACCTTCAATTTCCAGATGTTCTTGGACTAAAATTCCCAGAAGCCTTCAACACTAGCTGTGCTAGCTAGGATTTCTGGGAGTTGTAGTCTAAGACTGGGGATCCAAGGTTGGGAACCATTGTCTTAAAGCAAAATAGCCTTCACATTTCTGGCTTTCCACAGCTTTGGTCAACGGCATATCTATTAAAGCAGTGGTTTCCAACCTTCAATTTCCAGATGTTCTTGGACTAAAATTCCCAGAAGCCTTCAACACTAGCTGTGCTAGCTAGGATTTCTGGGAGTTGTAGTCTAAGACTGGGGATCCAAGGTTGGGAACCATTGTCTTAAAGCAAAATAGCCTTCACATTTCTGGCTTTCCACAGCTTTGGTCAACAGGAACAGTCAAACAAAATAGCCTCCAAATTTCTGGCTTTCCACAGCTTTGGTCAACAGGAACAGTCTGAATATGGCAGTTTTTTTTAAAAAAATAATGGAATGGATTCTATTTTATCCCATAACTTTTTGAATCCCACTCCCCATAGAATGCACACACTGTGCTCAGTGGAGGCTGGTGTATCTAATTTTGTGGGGCAGCAAATTCTCTCTGGGTTTCAGTATGAACTCTACATGAGCTATCCAAAGTGCTGAACCTTGCTGGGAGAGTGAAAGGGCAAAGAATAAGCCTCTGTCTTGAATGGTTTAGGAATCATTCATACACTAGTTGTTGCTGAGTAATGCTTAGTATTTCTTAAGACAGCTTTTATTAAAAATGAAGAAAAAATTCAGGGTTCACTAAAGAAGATAATGAAGCTAATTCATGTTCTTTAAAACAGTGGCAGTTCTTCATCTGCACCTTTGACTCATATTAATTTGGAGGAACAGAATGAAAAATTGGCACAATTTTTCAACCAATGAAACTTTTGATGAAAGTGCTTCAAAAGAATACACACTGCAGTACACCATTATTGAGATGTCAAAATTAATCTTTTTACACAACATCATTCTAATATAGCCTTTATGTGGAAGAGCTTAAATTGCCATTATGTTATCACAGTAGGACTGACTGTCTACATATCCGTCAAGATATGTCATTTCAAGGGGACAAATTGTGCTCTCTCCCCTCCTAAAAAACAACAACAATCCAGTACAAATGGTGAAATCACTGGTTTCATCTGTGGTCATGATAAAGTTCCCAATGATCATAACTATGATTTTCCATTGCCACTTAGAAAACTGGCTGATTCTCTTTTTGGGGGGGTGAGGGAAGAAGGACTACAGTGGTGCCTCGCAAGACGAACACCTCGTGGGACGAAAAACCTGCAAGACGAAAAGTTTTTGCGATCGTTGTGGTGCCTTGCGAGATGGCTTCTTCTATGGCCATGCTTTGCAAGACGATTTTTCTTCGCAAGACCGATGCCTCGTGGGACGAAAAACCCGCAAGACGAATGGTTTTGCAATCGTTGTGGTGCCTTGCAAGACGGCTTCTTCTATGGCCATGCTTTGCAAGGCGATTTTTCTTCGCAAGACCGATGCCTCGCAAGATGAAAATAATTCATTGTTTTTCGCAAGATGAAAATTTCGCAAGACAGCGCTACTCACGGAATGAATTACTTTCGTCTTGCGAGGCACATCTGTATGTCTGAAAACTAGCACTGAGTTTGTATTACTTTAGTCTGATAATATGTGAATATGAGAATTTAGAGATACTTACTTACTGGTAAGGAATCCTGGAAATTGATGCAGCTAATTGATAAGGTACCAGGCACATGGCAGGTGCATGTCAGATTTGCAATCGGGTACATGAGCAGGTCCATGACAAACACACACCTAGCATTTCATCAAGCAGCCACAGAAACAGAAAGAATTCCTCTTGCACACACACACAAATATTGTATACGAATACTGTGTTGCATTGGATTATTGGATTATGACCACTTGCGCTTAAAGCAGCAACAGTGCAACTGCCAATTTAGCTATACACAAGTGGAGCCAATTTACACAATACTCCCTCTTTCTATCACAGAATGAAATGTGCATGATCAGGTCAGAAAATGACCTCCTAACTCATGGCTGACAAGCATCCTGTTCTAGTTGGACAGGCAGTTTGGCTATCCTGCATTGTGTCCCCTGGAAATATTCACACAGGGATGCTTGCAATTAATGAAATGTTTGGTTTAGACCAAAAATCTTTCAGAGGGCATCTGTTCAGCTTTATGTGTGTCATGATAGGGAGAACTTGGAATTGCGTTTTTTAAAAGACATTAGATATTATTACAAATATGGTCAATTGACCAGACAATAGATAACTGACTAAAAACAAAACCATGCCCACCCTCCATTTTAAACTTACAAGACGGTGTCTTGTGTAACACAATCACAGAAGAGCAAGTGTATAAGCATTTCCCACACTCTTAACAAACCCCACTTTGCATACTAAGCCTCACACTGGTTGTAAGATTGGTTGCCTTAGCCACTTGCATGACACGAGGCTGCTAGAACAAGAGGACGCTTTCCCTCAGGCTCTTAATAGGATACTAGTGATGTGTTAAATCTTACCTGTTTAGGTATTCGGAAAAGAGAGTTCCTGGAGAATATATCTTTAGCCTGACTCCATGTTCCATCAATGATGATGATCACATAAGGTTCAATGGTGCTCAGATCTACATCTTCCAAATTTGTTGCTCCAGCTCCAGGATATAATATTAAGGTATTTGAATTCCTACATACCGATGCTAACTCAGGGTACCTATATAAAAATTGAAAAATGTGACTTCAGTTATTCTGATGAGCTAAGAAATAAACCCCATACATCTTTTCCTGTCTCAGTTATGCCATTCCTTCCTTGGCCCAGTCTCATTTCAGGGTATACCTGGCTTCTAAGAATAAAAGCTAGATAATATATAGATTAATACCTATTCTATAACCTTCACTTTTGTTCTAACTTCAGACAATACAACAAAGTATGTCTGAAGACCCAATCATATAACCCTCTCCAGCTCTTAGCTTTAGGAACATTGAATGCACTGTGCCAAAATTAAAAAGATCTGTAAAACAGATGAAATTATGGCAATATTAAGATATTTATGTTATCATCAATAATGCTTTCTGATTAGCCACTCTGTATGACCTATATTTAAGTTTTAAAGTGATTGCCACAATTTTTGTTTCCCTCTGACCAAAGTTTAGATTTCTTTCTCTACATCCATGTGCTATCTATGAATCACAACTTGAAGTTAAATTCTATGAATATGATAAAGCAGATTCTAGTCTGCAAAACTTTGTATCACAATAAAGGTGCTAAATATTTAAAGTGCTACAAGATTCTTTCTTACTTTAGCTGTAACAGACTAACGTGGCTATCCTAGATAATATTCAGATGGGAAAGAGTGCATCTAAGGACTTGAAAAATAAAAGAACCCCAGAAGCAGTGGCGCAACAGGCAAGTAATGGAGGTTAAATGAGGAAAAAGAATATATTTAGGCAGAAGACCATTACTGAGTTATTCTTAGAGTGACTCCATGGGAAGGAAGTTAAGACCATAATTGCAGGAAGAATTCAAGAGTTTTCTGTTATTAAAACACCAAAATGTACGTATTAGTTATGCAAACTGCTCAGTTGCTTTTCACTTTAGTTTGGCTTTCCAGGTGCTTTGGACTCAGAAGCTCCTGCCAGAATAGCCAAAGATAACTGAGAGTCATAGTCAAACCTCTGGAGGGTGCAAGGGTTCCCACTTTACCTTATTCATTTCTTCAATAAGCATGTGATACTTGTCTTCAACATCATCATCGATATTCTGGCTCTTTGTATGACACCTCTAAACAATGAATTTGCCTTGCATCCAACCATTCTCTCAGGTTTTTCAGCCAACAAGCTCAAGGTTGGGGACCACTACCTAAACAATGAATTTGCCCTGCATCCAAACATTCTCTCAGGTTTTTCAGCCAACAAGCTCTCCTTCCTGCAGCTCTCTTCCCCCATTTATTCTACCTTGAATCATCAGCTGTAATAACCTTCGTTTTTCTTTATTGGCTGAAGTATTCCAGTGTTCCACATTTCATGATTTCTTGGTCTTTGCCTTAGCACTCCTTCTCTGATCATCTTCTCAGCCCAAGAAATTCTTAATATCCCGTGATAAATCTACATTTCACTATGTTGAAGCTGCTATATAATCTACATTCCCCGTGCCAATCTTCTTTTTAAATTATTATTACATTGTTCATCTTTAAAAATATGGCTTAACTCCTCTCCTCACATCCTGATCATGTGAGCTTCAGATCTAGCCCCCATCCTCATCTTCTTCCTCCCTACTTTTGTTCTCTCCCGTGGCTTCACAAAAAGCCAATGATTTGGCCTCAATCTTTCTGGCATCCCCCAGTGTTCTAGCAGCTACAGGGATGTAGCACAAGGTTCTAGATGGCCTAGATCAGCTGGCACTGTAATTTCCCCACCCCTAGCCTGGCCCTGCTCAATGCTGGGCCAGGTGGCAAGGCCTTCATCAATGCTACCATCCTTGTCTCCAGCCTATACATCACCACTCATCAGCCCTCCTCCTAACTGGTGTTATGAACTCTCTTGGAAGGGGATACAGAAGAAGCTAAGCAGTGGGCCTGCTCATGCCTAGGCAGTATGATGCCATCATTTGACTCATCAAGTGCTTCATAACGATGTTCTCAGAACATAAACTAAGGCAGCTGAAAGAATATACACCTTTGTCATACTCCTCTTTGTTTCTCTATGTCCTCTTGCAGGTGATCTTCAACTTCTGCTGCAACTTTTTGTTGTCAGTAAGGGTCACCAATTATATGTATTTCATTTTTAAAACTTTTGTTTCCAGCAAAGCTTGCCATATTGGACTTTATCAAAGCCGTTCACATAGACAATAAAGGAAGCATACAAATCAATGTTCATGCAATGGCACCTCTTCCCATACAAATGGAAACAGAGCAGCGCTTCCCTGGCTCCAAACTTCCTCTTCTCCATGCTTCTAATTTCTGCAATGCATTGTTTGCAAAGAAAACCTGACTGTAATGGTCATTAAACCCACTCTGAGCACTATACTAAGGATTCTGTTCATCTTCTGCATGGCCATGTCTTCAAATAACAGATGCTGAAGATGCACATGAGTTTATGAGTGTTTGTCATTCAGACTTACAAGGAAGAAATGAAAAACACTTTTAATAACTTGTAGGTCACATCAGTGACAAAATGCCACACAAGGTTAGCAAAGCTGTGTTAAGATAGCAGTCAGGACTTCTGGCTTGATGCTGTGACAAGACAGCAGGAGGAGGACGAGCTTCCGTCCCTTAGGCTGAATTCCAACTTGTTTGAGGCCCCCAGGGGCTTAAACCACCCTGAAGAGGTGGTAAAATGGGGGAGAAGCCCGTTGGTCATGGGGGGGGACGACAGGACAGCGGTTACCCACGTTTGATCCAGGAAACTGGCCAATCAACAAGCGGGTGGAAACAAGCCGCTGAATTAGTTTGCTTGCAAATTGTCAGCAGCTGGCAAAATAAGAAGCGATAAATCAGCCAATTTAACATTGCCGTTACCACTGGGTGAGATACAAAATTTGAACTATACTGCTCTATGACTATTCCTGGACAGAATAAGCCCTATAACAGAAAAAAAAAGCACCTCTTAGCCCAACCACTAAATTGAGCTGCAGTGGATCTGAATTAGTTTGCTTGCAAATTGTCAGCAGCTGGCAAAATAAGAAGCGATAAATCAGCCAATTTAACATTGCCGTTACCACTGGGTGAGATACAAAATTTGAACTATACTGCTCTATGACTATTCCTGGACAGAATAAGCCCTATAACAGAAAAAAAAAGCACCTCTTAGCCCAACCACTAAATTGAGCTGCAGTGGATCTGAAGGGAAGGGAGCCCTTTAACAGAAAAAAAAGCACCTCTTAGCCCCACCACTAAATTGAGCTGCAGTGGATCTGAAGGGGAAAGAGATGCAAAGAAAATAAACTGGACATTAATTAAACACTTAATTATACTTCAAGGAAGGACATTTGGTAAATACTTCGGCGTTAAACATAAGAAATTTTCCTCTTAAAATTCTTTTAGCCAAAAAACGCTGGGAGTAAAACTGTTATGGTTATCTACAGGGTTGGCAAAAAAAAAACCTAGAACATGACCTTGAATACTCAAACTTGGAACTCTGTTTTGACTTTCCTCTTTTTTCCTGAGAACTGACTAAAACATAGACAATTAACTTTGGAAAGTCTAATACAAACATCAAACATCAAGTGAACGGGGCTGTCAACATGCGACAGAGACTGGATTCAAATTAACCCTAAAGGTGATCAACTTACTAAAGTGGACCTTTTGAAGCAATTATTGATGGAACTGGGCTGACTGCTCTAAAGCTACTGGACATCTTTTACTTGAAATACAAGTACTTGGCATCTTGGGACATAATGCTACAACAAGGGAAATTTTGGGATGAAACAAAATCTACCCTTCAAGCAGTCTTTGAAATAATGAGATCACATAATGAAGAGGTGAAATCATTCAAGGGGCAACTAAAGAAGGACTATATTCAACAGGAGACAGGGAATAATGAACAAGGAAATGTGAGGGTGGTGGATGATGTATGCCAACCAAAGGAAGGGCTGGCAGAAATCAGAGGAGAAAATTTAGGAGATTTAATTCTAACCCGAGAGCCCAGGAGAATTTTATCTGTGTTAAGGGAAGATAAGGGGGAAAAAACAGCATAATTAATTAAAAATAGCCTGGAAGATCTATTGGAGATAGATCAAGTGAACAGAGATCTATTGGAGATAGATCAAGTGTATAGAGATCTATTGGAGATAGATCAAGTGAACAGAGATCTATTGGAGATAGATCAAGTGTATAGAGATCTATTGGAGATAGATCAAGTGAACAGAGATCTATTGGAGATAGATCAAGTGTATAGAGATCTATTGGAGATAGATCAAGTGAACAGAGATCTATTGGAGATAGATCAAGTGTATAGAGATCTATTGGAGATAGATCAAGTGTATAAAATGTTTTCAGATGACAACAAGGGACAGCAGAATGTTTAGTTAGAAACAAGGACTAGGAAAAGATAAATAAGCAAAGGAGTTATTTAGAAAGATGAAAAGGGGAAAATATTAAGGTGGCCCTCAATGTTGAAAGCATGTATATACTTTAACTTCTGGAATTGTAAAGGGGCATATCTTATATATTAAAAAAGGGAAATAAACTGAAATAAGGGATCATTAATCAGGGTAAAGGCATAACATGGTTTTTAAATTGAACCTAGTATAAGGATGGGGCAAAACAAATAGTACTTAATGAATATACATTAGATATGATATTGATAAGGACATGATAGAAAATGTGGAGATAAAAATGGCTAAACAATTTATAAAGAAAATCTATATAAAATGCTTTAGATAATATCTATTATGTGTTAGGAACCTACTCAGTTATCATTGGTATAAATTACAAAGTTTGTTGGTTAAATCACCTCAAAATTATATAGATTTGGAACCAGAATTACTTTTATTAGGTATGTTTCTAGAGGATTTTGAGAACACTGTATACTCTGAGAGCAATATTATGGTAGTAGCCAATACTGTATACTAAAATACACACATGAACGGTGTAAATATTTTAAAAATGTATAGATTTTGAAGAGACAACTAAGAAGACACCAAGACGCAATAAATAATTATAAGCAAACCATGTAACACGATGTTTAACAAGCACAAATTGAATGTAGATAGAT